CTTTTTTAAAATTGGCCTAAATGACTTGAGTTCTTTTGTGAAGTTAGGAACATTGGTTTACTAAATGATATGTAATAGAATTTTTTAATGATGTTTAGCGCAGTGATAGATCTTGGAATTCTGAAGTCAATGATGTTTCTTTCAGCCGCATATGGCCATTAGTTTATGAATTATTTAATATTCAGTGCCGAGGAGCCTTCGAACACTCATTGAAAATTTACTGCATTACGTGAACAGGGGTTTCCTAAGAAGAACAATTTGTATACTGTTTGTAAACTTTTTGTAAACCTTAGTAGAAACGCGCCTTAAGAATCGCGGCGCCTTGTAGTTCCATTGCAGAGTTGGACAGAATTTTACTCGAATAATAGATAGTGGGAAACAACAGTATCTAAGAGCGTCATCCTGATCTATAAAGTCTACTCATTCAGGTAGAAGTAGCTATTATTTTATCCTAAAAATTGTAATTTTCACGTTTAATCAATGAAAAATGGCGAAGTACTTTTTTTTTAAAATCGTTTATTCGTTATTCGAAACTCTTTATTTAGATAATAAATTTGCCCATCTCTACTTCTCTGAGCCTCCTTAGAAAGAACAATTCGTATACTGTCTGTGAACACCAGTGGAGACGCGCATTGAGAAGCGCTGCGCCTGGGCGCTCTTCTGTATCGTTCTTCTTGCACGTTCTCCGTGGGCTTGCTCAAAGATGGATACGGATTCTTTTTTGTTTGTCGCTCGTTACTCGCGTAGGATTGATGAATTTCACCTGGTGTTCATCGAAAGGAGGAAGCTCGGGACGGAAGTGAAAAATGAGTAAAAGTATGACCGTTTCGTGCCGAGTTTCACGGCTTTGGTGCCATTAATATCGTGTGTCTCGTAACACCTGGATCGATACGATCGTGAGATCGTGTGCAAGTCTGAGGAAACGTTCTGTGGAGAAGCAATCATTTGTCTCTGGGAAACAACTCGAGCGTGTCTGTTTGTTTTTGTTAATAAATCATGGTAGGTTTTCCGTTTGGTAATGGAAGTTTATGGTATTGCTCGAATCGAGTTGAGAAAACGAAAGGGAACATGAGGAATCGTGCGTGTATTGCTCGAGACGTTAAGTGTGAAATGTTATTAATGATAATGAATAAGTTTTTCGATAGTAATGAACAACTGATGGAGTAATAAGGTAATTGTGGAATTTGTTCGATTAATGGCATCATAGGAATAGCCTCAGAAATTTACGTCAAGGTATATATAGACAGCCTGGTATTTAATTGTTACGATAGGGAGCAGATCAAACTGGTATAAGAGGATAAAGATTACCATAAACGCATATAATATTATAAAGACTACCTCAGACTCACACAATATTATAGAGACCATTTCAGATGCGTACAATATTATAGAGATCAGTGCACTATCTCAGATGCATACAACGCAGTAGCAACTACTCCAGAGTTACTCAAGACAATAGGGACTACTTCAGAGTCATTCGACACGATACACTTTACCAAGGATGCAAGGGGTACCACAGAGATCCTAAAATCTTCGTCAGAAGATACTAAAAGTTCAGGGGTTTCAGAAGTTTAATGGCTACAAGGGAGTATTGAATGTTCGACGAGTCTAGGGACCCTACAAACCCCTCTAGACCCTCGTGATCAGAAGACTGTCAGGATACTTGAACATAGATCCCCTATAACCTTGGAATCTCGGATACTTCCTGTGCTCACAAGAGCATCGAGCCTCTAAGACTGATTCCGTAGTACCTTCGATTCATTCTGGAGTATTTTCTATCATACTGTACGAGTGTAAAATAATTTGTATCGTGATGTTTCAGTGTGGAGTGGTCTCTATTCACTGTGTTTGCGTCTTAGGTGTTCTGTATTACTTCTTACGAGTCTGAGATCATTTCTAGTGTATCGTATGAGTCTAAAATGAATTCTATCGTGTCATACGTGTAAGTCTGAAGTGGTACCTATTGTATTGCACGAGTCTGCGGTAGTTGGTATTGTATCGTGTGGGTCTCAAGTGGGCCGTACCATGACATGCAGGTTTGAAGTGGTCTGTGTTGTTTTTTGATGGCTTCCAGTCCCTTGTATCAAGTCATGTTGCTTTGGGTGTTTAAATATTGTCTTCTATATGTCTTATAATCTAATAGGTAGTGAATTCCGTACGTTTAAAGTCGCTGATATCATATTATAGAAAGTCGAAGAGTGTCACGATTACTAAAATATCAGATTATTAGCCGATTTTATTAAATTAGGCTGTTTATTATATTAGCTTCAGGAACTTGAACTTAAATAGAAAATCGTCAGTATCGTATCTTCTACTGAAATGATTCTCATCTCTGGGTCTCTTTTGCGGATGAGCATATTCTTGGCACAGAACTATTCTGAGTTCTCCTTAGATCGTTAAAATCGCTGTATTAAGAATACTAGACTTTTTATTCCCCATTTCATAATCATGTTTGGTTAACTCACTGTATTATCGTAAAGTTACAACGGATATATCGGCGTATTATACACAGCATCCTGTTCATATTCTTCTGGAATTAACGTATTAACTTTCTTTATTCGCAAGTCACCAGTATTGTATCATTCCCGACAGGACATCCTTTATTGTCCTGTATTTATTACGATGGATTCTTACCTCTGCCCAACGTTAACTTTTTACCGTACACAGAGAACGGATTCTCGCGGAACATAGTCTTTGTCGTTTCGTTTTTTATCGAACAACCTCAGGAGCCATTCATTTCTCGAGCGCCATTTCTGCGGCCACGAGAGGTATAATGTACCCTTTAATCGCGGCTTTCTTCTACAGGCACACAACTTAATCTGCGATTCTTGATCACCGTGAAAAAAGACTTTTCGGTGATCGCCTACGATAACGGTACGCGGTCAGAACGTAATTTAAAGCCCATAAATCGAGCTTCGTTTCAGGCTTCCGGCCACTTTCGAATATTCGTCCGCTCGATTTTTCATCTTGCACACTTTCCAATTGATAAAACACTCCTAATATGGTACTTAAGACGTCGCCCAGCCCTCGCCCCCGAATTCGATATGGGACATTTAAATTCTGGCGGTGTGGCGTAACAGGTTTCATTGATTTAATTATACTAAATGGTACTTAACAACTATCATTCTTGATAAACAGAATTTGAATGGTCATGAAATTTTACACCATTTAAATGTTAATGTATACTGAATTATACCAAATTAAATGTATACTAAATTAAATTGTATACCTAATACATTAATATATGTATATAGTATATAATACATATAGTATAACGTAATATAGAGTAATGTAAAGTATATAATAACTTAAAAATCCGAAATAATTTCAGTAATTGTAAAATAACAAATCTGAATTCCGTAATTTGCTGGGTTTGGTAGTTCTTGTATTGAATGGTAACTCATCTCTTCTGTTAACAATTTCGTTAAATGAGGAGGACCACAAAGTTTATGTTAAATCTTGACATCTACTATAACTGCATGAAATCCTCATTTTACAGAAAAAAATTTAATCTCCTAAGTGTGGATTAAAATTTGGTATAATAATTGTCGGTACTCTCGGTGAAATTTAGGTTTTTATGGCCGTTTTCTTTTGTAGCGCGTTGGTGTTTTGACGCGAACAGTTTTTAACCATGAAACTTGATTAATGATTATGTCATTCGGAAGACGAATGGTCTTGTTCGGTGATCGTTTTTTTTTGTCGATGGTCCTTTGTAATAGTGACGCGATGTTGGTTGACCTCGATCTTTTAATGACCCGGTATTGTGCCGAGGTTTCATCGAATCGTTTATTATTTAGGCAACAATAAACAATGGTATAGCGAAGCTTTGTTATTTGTCAGGATCACACTCTCCGACGGTGGGCAGAATAACGCGCTAGTTACATGTAAATGAAGCCTGTGGTAACCAGTGCAAAAAGCTGTGTTTATGCTAAATTCAGAATTATTAGATAACCCTGAAGAATTACCATTGTTCGTGTATTACACGAGTTGCGATCACTTGATGATTTCATGGTACATTTACCCGCATAATAGCTTTTTAATATTTTTATGTTTATACATATAGGATACAGAAATATTTTATAGAATTATGACAGTAAATTAATAACATACAAATTCTAAAATACAATTCGGTTACAGATTTTAAGGAAACCAAAGTTTCTAATATAACTGAAAATGAGACTTTCTTTTATCGGAAAATGGTATTTAATATAAAAATATCTATAATATTGTAAGAATTTGTTAGATACTACACAAATGTACTATTTCATTTTCCTCGTTTTTCTGGGTCCCATTTCATATGTCGATTACTGTCGGAATAATTTTCTCTGACGTGTTCACTGTATTTTCACTGTGTTCGAGTATATTAAATTTTTAGTTGTTCTATTCTATATTCAATTGAAACTACACTACATCTTGAAAGATATGATTCATAATTTCTCTTAAACAAATTTCTTCTTTTTGATTTATTCTTACACTTTTCCAGCTATAACGCCCCATTAAGACAAATACAACAACAACACAAAATTTCTAAATTTTATATGTAAAGTTTAATACCATTGTGAATACAATTTACAAATTTATTTCTACGTTTTATTATAGTTAGAAATACAATATACGAACGATTCCTAAACTCGAATATAATTATGAGTACAATTTACGAATTATCCCTAAACCCGAGTATAATTATGAATACAATTGTCGAATTATCTCCAAATCGGAATATAATTATTAGATTGCGGAATTTTATGCAAATACAGATTTTTATGAAGTAGTTTATAGAAGACGAAGTCAAATAGAATTACATTTATATTATGAACGATTCTATCAAGTTCCAAATCATATGAAAAATATTATTTGGACTTGAATTTTTGAATGCACCGAGTTTAAGACAATGATGAATGCAATTTACGAATTGTCCCTAAATTCAGGAATCTGATCTTCCATGTAATACATATTTCGGAACGTCTAATAACCATGGCGCATGTTTTGAATGATTACAGGTACTCCAACGAGACATAGAGGCGCACGGTCGAATCGTCAGCTCGGTCGTCAAACTGGGCGACAAAGTGTACACGCAACAATTAGAGAAACAACAGGAACAGGAGAAACAACAGCCGCAAGAAGAGGAACTAGACCAACGGGAGCCGCCGCAAGCCTTGCGAATCGTACGATCTCTGGAACGTCGTTGGCATTTGCTGTTTCTACGTGCCTTGGAATGGCAATGCCACATCGAAACACTTGTATCACGAATAAGCAGCAAGGTGAGTCTGAATACCTACGACTCTCTACGCGGATTTTCATTTTCATTTGCCGCCTTTGATCGTCCGCGGTTTATCTTGTTTTTATGTTATTAATAGCTGTCAGGGAAATCTCGTTTAAGCTACCTTTAGATGAAGATAATAACAGAAAGAGTAAAAGTAAAAATATCGACCCTCGAGTTCCTATGGTCGAGTGACTGACGACTCATTGATGAACGAATATCGACCTCAAAATGAATATCATTTTTTACGTGTCTGAGAGATGTCTTTATGGGTCACGATTGACCCAACCGTCGGCATCTATGGTCTATATCACGTGTATTAGTAAGAAAGAGATAAAATACAAAATCTGTACAGCAAATTTAGAAAATGTTCACTCTCGGGCATGGTTTGGAACTATTCGAGACGTTCGAACTATTAGAAACGTTTGAAAAGTTTGATCAGCGTTTAGTCGCCTCGCCACGGTCAAACTCTGAACTGTTTGAATGTCTTGCTGAGAGTTTAAATATGAGCTGTTCATTTGCCAAGTAACTCCACAAAACAAAGAGTAGAGAAAATTAATAAAATTATATAATTCAGTGCTTTGGCACTAAAATTTTCTTTCTAACAAGTAGATTAAAAGTGGAGTTAGTCACTTTGGCATGCGAACGGTTCATGCGATGTTTGAACAGTTCGATTACCCATCACTACGGGCGGTCGGTCACGCTCGCCGCGAGGCGTTCCTTTATCGTAACGCATTCATATCACACCGCAATGATCGCTGATAGCCGGGTTTCACCGATTAGATACTAGGAAACGCGTACTGAGCTCTCTTGACACGCATTCGACTGCATACTGGCGAGATTGAACGCGCTCCGTCGATTGGGTTCAGCAAATTGCGATCGGGACTTTATTGGCCTACATGCGGAGGATTGATTGGAACGTAACTCTTTGGATTTGAATGAAAGTACCCGTACGAAGTGAAAGAGAAGAATAATGTCCGATACGGGATCCTTTGTGGCTCGTACTTACGTGGTCTGTTACAAAAATAATGAGACTGCTTTCATAAAGCCTCTTTCACGATACATTTTTAACAATCAACATGATCTCTAAAATACACTGCTGGAAACAATTAGAGGATTATCTAAGGCAAGAAAGTTTTTTATATCAATATAACTAAATAATGTTAATTTTGTACGGAAAATATATCGATTTATCGAACCCATAGTAAACTTTGTTTTTTTTTTTTTTTTGCTGTGTGGGTGCAATCGGACTGTTATTCGCATTAGTGATCCCCTAATTCTGTTGAGCAGACTATTTATGGAAATGTTTCTACCATTTTTTTAAGCAATCCTACACACTTTATCTGTCATAGCATCCATCCTATCGGCTACAGTCAAATGTGAATACCCTCTTACTCTACATTGTTTCTAAATAAGTCTCTTGCTTTAAAACAATTGTGATATTAAATTGCAGTACAATATTCTAACTTGGGATCCATAAATCTTTAGTCAAATCAAGTTGAAATGAATTATTCCTTATTTCTATTAATAATATTTGTATATTTTGTTCTAAAGTGTCTGAAGATCAACGCCAGAAACTATGATATTCTGTTAGAGTTCTTCACCATTTTACTATACGAAACACGTTCTCTTCTTAACATGTTACTTCGTTGGAACTCATACGACTTCCTAAGATGTTACTTCATTAGAAGTCGTATGAGTACCAACGAAGCGACACTTTAAGCAACGAACGCAATTTGTACAGTCAAACAGCAAAGAACTCTAAAAGGATGTCTCTAGTGGACGGGCAAAAAAAATTTCTCCATTAAATTCTCGCGAAATCTACGACTTATCCAGTGCCAGAAGATATCGAAACGGGGTGGGGAAAAGGTTTCTATCCGGTGCACTGCGGGGAACGATCCGTACGAATTGTATCGATACGAAATCAGCATCAGATATCAACGAGGACCGTGTATATCGTGTAGGCACGAGAAGGCTGTGTGTCCCCCCGGGTTTTTTACCTTATGCACGGATCGGAAACGGGGCCGTGCCCCGTCGATGTACGTAAATTTATTATCCCCATGAAAAAGTGTCAGTTTATCGGGGGAAATCGTTAATTATTGGGACGAATTGCATCCGGCAAACGGGCATGTAACACACGCGATATATGCACGTACAATCGGTGTGCACCTTGTGTTCTCGGCTCTCTCGCCGCGGTGCGTTTTTCTTTTCCAACCGCATGGGTTCCCGGGGGCACTCATACACAGGGTGTCCTACCTAACGTGAATACCTTCAATATCTCACTTGTTTTTGAAGATACAAAAAAATGTAGGGGGCGAGAAGTATTATTTGATTAGAAAGAGAAAATACCATGATAAGGAAAATTTTTCCTCAAGGTCATATTTTTTTAAAATTTCAAGGTCATCGATAGTTTTTTTTTCTAAATAGAATTACATATTTTTATCAGGGTGACGTAATAAGTGAGTTCAAGTTCAATTCAATGATCTATAATAGTGTTACCTTCGTGTGACTTTAATTACGAATTAGAGTACGAAAAATCCACAAATGTAAGAGAGTAGATTTAAATAATAAAATCACTACAATAGAGGAATTGGTGCAAAAATATATCGAAGTTGATGGATATTGATTAAAATTAATTTTCTGCAAATCAAAAGCGAGATACCAAAGGTGCTCGCGTTAGGTGGGACACACTGTATATACATACTTCGTGTGACTTTAATTACGAATTAGAGTACGAAAAATCCACAAATGTAAGAGAGTAGATTTAAATAATAAAATCACTACAATAGAGAAATTAGTGCAAAAATATATCGAAGTTGATGGACATTTATTAAAATTAATTTTCTGCAAATCAAAAGCGAGATACCAAAGGTGCTCGCGTTAGGTGGGACACACTGTATATACATACACAGGCACACACATGCTTCTCTCGCGCAGCCGTTTCGTATCGGTTGACCGTGTTCCACGCGCAGGGTAAAACGATCCCGCGCAATAAACTTCGTTTAAACGTGAGTAATAATCGGCTGACCGCCGCGCACAAAGCAGTGGTTTCACTTCGAGGGATTTAGCCGAGGTTAGATGCGCACCACAAAGGCGCCTAAAACTTTCACGCTGGGGCGTAGTCCAGTCGATCGTTTGGACCCTGTCCTGAATTTCGAATTTTCACAGGTTCCACATAGAACGGTGAGCATCGTAAAACTTTCGATAAAGCGGCTGGGAACTTTCTTTGTCCGGAAATGGCCAGGCGGCGAAAAGCTTTCGCTTTGGATCTCGTTTTCGGAGGCGATATTCGCGTGTATTGTATATCGGGTTGAACGGAAAGTTCGTGTGTCTTTGGTGAGATGTCTGTGTACGAGAGAAATTTTACAAAAATGGTATTAATAAATTAGTCGAACGGTGCAATTATGTCATTGATTAACTCGCTCACTGCATTTTTTGGTGCAGGTAGGTCTCGATTTGTGCGAGTTATAAATCCCAAAAATTGAACATGTCATTCAATTTCATACTATTCGAATACTTGAAATACAGGAATTGGTTGTTATTTAAAACAATATACAATACAAAATTTAACATATTACCTGTTTATACGAGTTTTATTAAATTATGTACTAATTATTATTGTGGTACAGTACCCTGCCACTCCATTATGGGCATTCAGTGTCTGTTGCAAGTTTCAAAATCAGGTGCTTGTTTACATTTGTTGTCCGTATCAAATTTAACGGCATGGGTATCAATAAAAAGCCTGTCTTTGATTTCCCATAATATTAAGATAATTTTGAATATTTTCTATGACTTCCTTGGCTATTTATAGTGGTTTCTTGAAATGCATCGATTTATGCACTCCTTTACTTCCTGAATATTTTTTGTTAGGACATTTTTAGTCGGATTTCTTCTTTATACACACTTTAGGCACAGAATCCAACACAAAATCTTCTTACAAAATTGAACAAAATCGTAATTTATACAACACTCTAAAAAAACTGAAACTTGAGATAAACATCCACAGTCGAAATAACTTTTAATTGAACAGAACCCAAGTCTTGGCCTATAGTCGTGATATTTATAGACACAGTGATCCTCCCACTTTTCTGCAATGAAAAGAAATCAGAAATTCCATTTCCAAAATAAATGGCTCCTGCAGGTGCACGAAACGATAATATTTAATATACCAGCTCCAGGCATGCGTTTAACTGAACCGATCCGTTCGACTAATTGCTCCGTGTGTAATCGTCTTAAATGATCGTTCTTCGAACACATTGATCGAGTCTGATCGAGACCAGATGAAGATATCCAGCGATCTGTTAATTGGTTCATAATCAAGCGATCGGTATGTGTGTTACCTACGATTAGACGAGCGTATCTTTCCTAGCGTTCCACGGGGTCATCGTTTGTACGACGAACCGCGACGAGCCCGTAGCAAAATTACCTCATTTCGTACGGTGCTTAGCGGCTCGTGTAGCTCATGGTGTACATGAAAGTGGGAATATTTAGCATGAATTTCACTGTAGAAAACGAGATGCCACGGAGATACGTAAGTGCCCGCGGACAGGATCGAGTCGGCGTTATGTTAAGGCGTGCGAGTTATTCGTGTGAAAGCACTTGGGAAAATTCAGACGACGGAAGCTTGGTTGGATCTTCTTGGTACTTGTCCAGAGAATTCGAACACCTGGTCATTAGTACCAGGCCTGTATGTAGTTATATCTAACGATAGTTGCATAATAATAGTCGTTTTTTAGTTGCAGAGTTTGAATAGTGTCCTTTGAATGATTATGGCTTATTTTGTTAAATTATGCTTATGGCAAAAATTTCATTACGTTTGGTTAGGGTTTCATTTAATTGTACTCTATACACTCGTTGTGCCATAAATGCATAAAACCCCCCGTCTACCTGTTACCAATACTGGTGAACCTATTCATCGAGGTAATAAGTTTCCATTTCTCTCCTGCTTTCAGAAATTGGACCCCAGAAATATCAATTTCTCGAAATTACGAGACTCTTGTT